TTCCTGGCTTTTAATCCCCTTTCTCCTGCTCTTCCGGCCTGCTGCTTTGGGCGTCCCTGAGTTGTCTCTCCTCACCTGTATCCCTGGGGCTGACTTCTCTTTTGTCCGGGTTCCTGGCTTTTAATCCCCTTTCTCCTGCTTTTCCGGCCTGCTTCTTTGGGCGTCCCTGAGTTGTCTTTCCTCACCTGTATCCCTGGGGCTGACTGCTCTTCTGTCCAGGTTCCTGGCTTTTAATCCCCTTTTCTACTGTTCTTCCCGCCTGCTGCTTTGGGTGTCCCTGAGTTGTCTCTCCTCACCTGTAACCCTGGGGCTGATACTTAGCAGCCCCAAATAGTAACTCAGTGCAAAGCAAATATTTCTCATAATCATCTAGACTATAGCTAATTATTTATAAACAAATTAACCAATATTAAAAAGTAAAACAATTGTTCATTTATGTAAATGTTAAATGCAACCTTCAGTAAAAACATTAAAATTGTGTTATTTTCAAAGTCAAAACTTAATTTGGTAAAATTGTCATAATGGAAGAGAATTGTAGATTTCTAGGAAAAACTTTATTTTGTCAAGTAAAGATAAGATTATTATTTTTAATGTGTGCAGTTTGAGTGTGTAGGAGAAAAATGTATATGCATACACCCCCCCCCCAATACACACATACATATAGGCATTTAAGGGTTTATTAGGGAAGTTTTTTTAAGTATACAAAAATAATAAAGCTGCATGTATCTGTTATTCAGTTTCAACATTTGTTAACTTGCGTTTAATCTGTATCTTTTCACTACCCTCATTCATTATGAAGCAAATTTTAAACATTATATTTTGAATTTGTAAACTAGAAGATAATGACTTTTTTAAAAAATAACATAAGCAGAGTACTTTATCATACCTAAAACATTAAAATAATATTATTAACCATCCAATCAATATTCAGCCTTTCTTGATTATTTCATAAATGGTTTTAAAAGTTTGTTTGAATCAGAATCAAAACATCTATACATCATAATCAGTCACTATATATCTTAAATAACTTTTAATCTATAGCTTCCTCTCCCCTTTTTTTCTTATATTTTATTTATTGAAGAAAGGTCATTTGCCCCCTTTCTGCATTTAGTGATGGTATAAATTGTGGTATCATTTAGATGTCCAAAAGTATTTTTATTTTTCCCTTATCTCTTTGACTGTAAATGAATTATTCTTTAAATGGGCCTAATTTAGTTACTGAAGAATAAAGGATTTCAAAGATTGTGTGAACATAAAAGTGTGAGGATCTAAAGGAAAGTCTGTTATCCTCAGGAAATAGATGAGTTTTGTAGAGCAGCATGTTTATGTTCTGATTAGTTTGGTAACATTATATAATTTGTTGCCATATGAATATATTGTAAAACAGTGGACTATGAAATGATAGCAAGAGTAGACATCCTATACTGATTTTGGTTAAAGTGACATATTTTTATCAACTTTTTTCATTTACCAATAAAGATACCAGGTGATCAGCACACCAACGGACTTTTTTATGGTAATGGAATATGTATCTGGTGGTGAATTATTTGACTACATCTGTAAACATGGACGGGTAAGTAACATATTATCTAGTACACTAAGCCCCTAAGCTTTAGAAAGAGAGAAGTTTTTGGAAAAATCCAACCATAAGTATATCTTAATAATGTTCAACTAAATATAGAATATTAGACAAATTGTCTTTTTTTTAAAAAAAAAAATAAACCTTTCAAAATACTAAGTCTAGGAAATATGCTCCACTTAATTGCCAACATGATGAGTATGGTTTTCAGAATGAAAAATCTGTTTCATAAGATTATGTTGAAACTTCAGTTATTTCCTTTTCTTATGCCACTTGCAAATAAATTGTTTTAGATTATGTTTTATAGTTGATTAAACATTGTGTGCATACTAGTAAATATTACAAAACCAAACCTATTGCTATTGAATTGATTCAGACTCATCGCAACCTTACAGGACTTAGTAGAACTGTCCCATATAGTTTTCAAGGCTGTAAATCTTTATGGAAGCAGATTGCCTCATCTTTCTCCCATGGAGTGGACTGGTGTTTTCAAACTGCAGGCTTTTTGGTTAGCAGCTGAATGCTTTAGCCACTGTGTTGCTAGAACCCCTTTACTGAGTACTAATTGAATATCAAGTATTAACATCTAAGGATACAAGATCAACATACATCAACATCAGTTGAATTCCTTTACACTAACGATGAGAACTCTGAAAAAGAAATCAGGAAAGCAATACCATTTTCAGTAACCGCCCAAAAGGAGATATATTTCTGGTTAGGAATAAATCTAACTAGAGACACAAGAGACCTATACAAATAAAACTACAAAACACTGTTACAAGATACCAAAAGAGACCTACATAAATAGAAGACTGTATCATGTTTATGGATAGAAAACATAACATCATGAAAATGTCAGTACTACCCAAAGCGATCTACTACAATGTGGTCCTGATTCAGATTCCATCATCTTTCTTTAAAGAGATGGAAAAATGAATCACTAACATTGTATGGAAAGGAAAGAGACCCCAGATAAGTAAACCTCTACTAAAGAAGAAGAGCAAAGTAGGAGATCTCACACTCCCTGATCTCAAAACCTACTGTACAGCCACCATAGTTCAAACAGTCTGATACTGGTACAATGATAGACACATAGACCATTGGAACAGAATTGATAAAGCAGAAGTAAATCCTTCCATCTATGGACAGCTGATCTTTGACAAAGAGCTAAACCCATTAAATGGGGGAGGAGATAGTGTCTTTAATAAATGTTGGTAGCAAAACTAGATATCCATTTGCAGAAAAATGAAACAGGACCCAATATCTCACACCATATATAAAACCTAACTCAAGTTGGATCAAAAACCTGAATGTAAAACATATAACCATAAAGACTATCAAAGATAAAGTAGGGACAACATTGTTGCTGTTGTTGTTATGTGCCGTTGAGTCATCTCCAACTCATAGGGACATTATGTACAACAGAACAAAACACTGACCAGTCCTGTGCCAGCCTCAAGATCCCTACTATACCTGAGCCCATCGCTGCAGCCACCATGTCAGTCCATCTTGTTGAGGGTCTTCCCATTTTTTGTTGATCCTCCACCTTACCAAGCATGGTATCCTTTCCAGAGAATGGTCCCTTCTGACAAAATGACCAAAGTAGGTAAGATGAAGTCTGGCTGTTCTTATTCTAAGGAGCATTCCAGCTGCACTTCTTCCAGGACAGATACATTACTTCTTTTAGCAGTCCACGGTACTTTCAGCATTTTTCGCCAACACCACAACTCAAAAGCATCAACTATTCTTTGATCTTATTCTTTGTCCAGCTTTCACATACATATAAGGCTATTGAAAATATCATGGCTTGGATTAGGTGCATCTTAGTCTTCAAGGAGGTATCTTTGTTCTTCAGCACTTGAAGGAGGTTTTTGTACTGGATTTACCCAATGCAATATGTCTTTTGATGTTTTGACTGCTGCTTCCATTGGCATTGATTGTGGAACCAACTAATATGAAGTCTTTGACAACATCGATCTTTTCCCATCTATCATGATGCTGCTTATTGGTCCAGTTATGAGGACTTTTGTTTTCTTATATTGAGATGTAATCCATACTGCAGACTGTAGTTTTTAATCTTCATCAGTAAGTGCTCCAAGTCATCCTCACTTTCAGCAAGCAAAGTTGTGTCATCTGTGTATCTCAGGTTGTTAACGAGCCTTCCTCCAATCCCAACGCCACATTCTTCTTCAGATAGTCCAGCTTCTTGGATTATTTGCTCAGCATATAGATTGAGTAAGTGTGGTGAAAGGATACAACCTTGATGCACTACCTTTTTGATTTTAAACCGTGTGTTGTCCCCTTGTTCTGTTTGAACGACAGCTTCCTGCTCAATGTACAGGTTCCTCGTGAGTACAATTAAGTGTTCTGGAATTCTCATTGTTCTTAACATTTTCCATGATTTATTATGATCCACACAATTGAATACCTTTGCATTGTCAATAAAGCACAAGTAAACATCATTTTGGTGTTCTTTGCTTTGAACTAAGATCCATCTGACATCAGCTGTGACATCCCTTGCTCCACGTCCTCTTTTGAATCCAGCTTGAATTTCTGGAAGTTCTCTGTCAATGTACTGCTGCAGCCATATTTGAATTTCTTCAGTAAGATTTTACTTGCATGTGATAGCAATGATATTGGTCTATAATTTCCATATTCTGTGGGATCACCTTTCTTTGGAATGGGCACAAATGTGATCTTTTTTCCTGTCAGTTGGCCAGGTAGCTGTCTTCAAATCTCTTGGCATAGTCGAGCGAGTGCCTCCAGCACAGCATCCTTTTGTTGGAACATCTCAGTGGGTATTCCTTCAATTCCTGGAGCCTTGTTTTTCACCAGTTCCTTCAGTGCAGCTTTGACTTCTTCCTTAATACCACTGGACAAACTTAGGGGCCCTAATGCAGGACATAAATACACTATTGAACATAACTAAAAACACACGAACACCAGAAGACAAAATAGATGACTAGGACTCCAAAAATTAGACACGTACATGTATCAAAAGATTTCACCAAAAGAATAAAAGAGAACCCACAGACTGGGAAAAAAAATTGGTAGCAACATATCAGACAAAGGGCTAAACTCTAAAATTTGTAGAAAAATTCAGCAGTCTCATATCAGCAAGACAAATAATCCAGTTTAAAAATGAGCAGAGGACATGAACAGACACTTCACCAAAGAAGACATTCAGGTAGCTAACAAACACATGAAGAAATGCTCCTGATCATTAGCTATTAGAGATGTAAGTCAAACAACAGTGACTAATAGCCCCAGCACTAACAGCAAAGTTTAAAAAAATAGAATATAATAAATACTGGCAAGGGTGTGGAGGGACTGGAACCCACATGCCCTGCTGGTGGAACTGTAAAATGGCGCAACCACTGTGGAAAATAGTAAAACACTTTATTAAAAAGTTTCAAATAGAAAGACCATATGATCCAGCAAACCCACCGCTAGGTGTATATCCTAGAGAAATAAGAGCTATGATGTGAAGAGATACATGCACACCCATGTTCGTCACAGCATTATGTGCATAATAGCAACAAAATGCCTGTCAGTGGAGGAATGGATCAATAAACTATGGTACATACACACAGTGGAATACTATGCAGTATTAAAGAATAGTGATGAATCTGGGAAACATAACATGTATGAACTTAGAGCCCATTATATTGAGTGAAGTTAGTCAATCATGAAAGGACAGATATCATATGAGACCACTGTTGTACAAAGTCAAGAAAAGGATTTTACAAAAAAGAAATATCTTTAATGTTACCAGGGGTGGGTGGGGAAGGTTGGGTGAACCACTCACTAAAGAGTAGACACATATTAACTTGAGTGAAGGGAAAAAAATTAAAAGTAATCAAAATTGAGCACTAATACCTAATCCCATCTGCCCAATTAGACTTGAAAATTCAAAACAAAGTCCAGAATGCCACTTTACTAAGCAAATGTAGTGATTTTCATATTGTAGGTGTTTGCTAGTTGGTTCTGTCAGTAATACTAAGTTATGACAGACAGTAGGCTATTCAGATGTTTATTGAAAATCAGAATTAGTAGCCTACATTTAGTTTTCCAAAAGTAGAATGGGAATATTACTGCTTGTCAGCAAAGAAAAACTTGTTGATTGACATGTTAAACTTCTATACAAGTTTTTGCTTTGTTTGTTTGTTTTGCTGAGAATTCCAAAACAGTTAATGAGCTTAATCATATTTAGACTGATTATGAAGTTAAAGCTGTTGCTATGTAGATATCCCAGATATTCTTAATGTAGTTTCTTTTATACTCGATAGGTTGAAGAAATGGAAGCCAGGAGACTCTTTCAGCAGATTCTGTCTGCTGTGGATTACTGTCATAGGCATATGGTTGTTCATCGAGACTTGAAACCAGAGAACGTGCTCTTGGATGCACAGATGAATGCCAAGATAGCTGATTTCGGTGTGTAACTCCAAGAGTGTTTAGAAATGTACTGTTGTTGTTATGTGCCATCGAGTCGGACCTGATTCATAGCGACCCCTCCTTGGGTTTCCAAGGCAGTATTACTACGGAAGTAGATTGCTCAGCCTTCCTTCTGAGGAGTGGTTGGTGGGTTTGAAATGCCAGCCTTCTGGTTAGCAGTCAAGTGCCTTAGGCACTATGCTACTAGAGCTGCCTTTCAAAATGTGTTAGTAACAACATTTATAGAAATAAGAATTTTAAATTTTCTTTTATCATGAAAGCAGATTAGTTTCACAGTCTACAAGCTTAAAAAAAAAAATTACCATTGCTATCGGGTCAATTCTAAATTATGGCAACCTCATGTGTTAGAGTAGAACTTCTCCATAGAGTTTTCTTGGCTGTAATCTTAACAGAGGCAGATTGCCAGGCCTTTCTTTCATGTTGTCACTGGGTGGACTTGAGCCACCAACCTTTATGTTAGCAGTCAATCACAAACTGCACCACCAGGGCTTCTTTGCATTTAAACACACTTAACAAGATGCAGATACCTCTAGAAAAGTTAATGAGCTGTGGGTACACTAAGTCAGTTCAAATTACATTTCTTCCTAAAGCAGTAATACTTAACTATTTGCTTTCTTTTTGTGGTGGGAGTCACAAACTCCTTTGGAAATCTGATGAAAGTATGGACACTCTCCCTGATGAATGCATATAAACAGAGGTACATGAAAATTTGCCTGCAGTTTTGGAGTTTTATACTCCTGAATCAGTCTATGGACGAGCTAATACTTCTCAGGATAATATCTATACTAACAACTTGATGAGAGATTAGGAGTTTTTGTCAGGGGTAGAGGAATAGGGTAAATGTAATTTTTATGCTCTGAACACTTTCTAAGGTGACCATACCTTAACAGGTGCCTTAGTAGGGTATTTGGGAAAAGTATTAGGAAGTGAGAGAGTATAGAAACAGAGATGGCAAGGTGCAAAAGTTTATTGTTGCTTTTTTCAGTTTTTTGTCCTGTACTTTGTCTTTGATCTAAAAGACAGAAAACTAATTTCCCAATTTGTCTTCTCCAGATTATTTTGTTATTGTTGGTAGGTGCCATTGAGTCGCTTTTAACTCATAGCAACCCTATGACCCTATATTTCGATTAAAGTTTGTTTCGGTATATTATTTTTTTCTATGTTAAATATTACTTTCCAAATTAAAAACTTTTAGAACATAATCCATTAATAAATTGGAGCCTTTCTGATTTGTACTTGAAGATTTTTTCAAAAGGCTTTTGGAAGCACAGTATTAAAAAAAGCAGTCGTCTCTGTTTTACTTTCTTCAGTTGTAGAAGTGGGTAAATTATATTTTGATGCTTTAATTTTTGGTAAAGGTAATATAATTTAGAATAACCTCATACTTATGAAGTGAATAGATACTTTTATTTAGAAAGGGAATTTAATTACAGTTATTCATGTGATATGCTTTAACTATTTTGTCATAGTGTTGTTGTTGTTGTTATGTGCCGTCGAGTCGGACCCGATTCATAGCGACCCCACCTTGGGTTTCTGAGGCAGTATCACTACAGAAGTAGATTGCCCCATCTTCCTTCTGAGGAGTGGCTGGTGGGTTTGAACCGCCAGCCTTCTGGTTAGCAGTCAAGTGCCTTAGCCACTATGCTACCAGAGCTCCCTTGCAATAGTGTAAGCACCTGAAATATTATTCCAGCTAATGCTTTCAATGCAAGATGTGGAGGTGTGCATTAGATTTAAGATTGTCCTCCTACATTTATCTACATCTGCTTTTGAAAAATACCTGGCACCAGGTAAGCATTGCTTTCATTTTCAGGATTATCTAATATGATGTCAGATGGGGAGTTTTTGCGAACTAGTTGTGGATCTCCAAATTATGCAGCACCTGAAGTCATCTCCGGCAGGTAATAACATATCAGCCAAGAGAGTAAGCTTTTTGTAGTCCTGTATTTATTCCAGTAACATTTAATTAAAACAGATTCTGTTAGGATAAAATTTTTAACATAGCTGAAACAAATTGTCCCTTTATTTTTCTTTTGAAGGGTAGGATGATTATACAGGCTTGCCTCATTTTATTGCATTTTGCTTTATTGTGCTTCACAGATATTACATTTTTTACAAATTGAAGGTTTATGGCAACCCCATGTTAAACAAGTCTGTTGGTATCGTTTCTCCAAAAGCATCTGCTCACTTTGTGTCTTTGGGTCACATTTTGATAATTCTCACAGTATTTCAAAGTTTTTCATAATGCTGTTGCATGCTTAATAGACTATGGTGTAAGCATCACTTTTATATGTACTGAGAAACAAAAAATTTTGTGACTACTTGCTTTATCACAATAATTTGCTTTATTGTGGTGGTCTGCAACTGAACTCATAGCATCTCTGAAGTATGCTTGTATTAAAAACTTTTAGAAACATTTAATTTAGATTTTGTTATAAATGTATTTAAGGAGTTGCCCCATACTGAAACATCTTGATTTAACAACTCTTTTATTTTAGAAGAATATAGATAAGAGAGGAAGCATTTGGTCATTTAAGCTAGTGTTATTTTAGGAAGCACATAGAGTATTGTTTTGTATTTTGTGCTGGAAGAATGAAGCTTTTTGGGTAATACTGTCATTTCGTGAAATTAAACTATATAAGTGGAGATTGTATAATTGCTCATTGTTACATTTGTTAAATGTTCAGACAGATTTCAGTGGTAAACTCATATCTTTTCTACAATGTCAGATTTCTGGTTAAAAACCTAACAGATTTATGTGAGAAAAAAAAAGAGGGTATTAGTCTAAATAGCAGATATAGGAATTTGGACAATAAAGCGAATGATGGACAACAATTTTTATAGAAATATTATATTCCTTGAACTGGAATTGTAGGGATTTACTTTTTTACCTCAGACCCAGGTTTGGGTTTGGTTGTGTGGTATTAGGGAAATTTTAATGCTGTGGAAAAGTTATGGAAAGGAAATAACTTCCTAGGCATAGCTTATCTGGAGCGAATTATTGAAGAAACTAATCTTAGTTGTGGGAGCTGGCAAGTGATTAGAATGAAAGTATTAGGCACTTAGGATAATGTGATACAGGGTAAGTACTGTCAGAGAGAGTGACAGGACTAGTTAGATACTTTAATGTTTCAAATATTCTTTAAAATAGGTGTGCCAAGGCTAAGAATTCTGTATGTGCATTTTCTTTTTTGTAATATTCTTATGGTAAAAAGATTTAAACTATATGCTATAGTAGTATTTTCTCACATCTAAGCTCATCTACTATGATATTTCTATCAAAAATCATCCATACAAAGTTTTACATCATTTTTTATTCAGTTAGTAAGTTTTAGTTAAATATGTTGCTGACAAACAAAATAACATTTTCTCTTGGCAGACTTGAATAGTAATTGTTTAGACTGATTATTCTCTGAGGAACAACCATTGAGTATTGGAGGTCATGGACCTCATAAAGGACTTTGGAAATTAATCCATACCAAATCTATACTGTGTGTATACAGAAGCAAGGTGCATATGGATGAGAAAAGGTGGCCCTTACATTTCAGACTTGTGTTGTCATCTTTTTGCTTAGATTGTATGCAGGTCCTGAAGTTGACATCTGGAGCTGTGGGGTTATTTTGTATGCTCTTCTCTGTGGCACCCTCCCATTTGATGATGAGCATGTACCTACATTATTTAAGAAGATCCGTGGGGGTGTTTTTTATATCCCAGAATACCTCAATCGTTCTATTGCCACTCTCCTGATGCATATGTTGCAAGTTGACCCTCTGAAGCGAGCAACCATCAAAGACATAAGGTGATTATTTCTTTTTGTTACTGTTATGTATGTTTTCTAATATGGCTAATAGTGCCACTAATTGAGTGTCTCTTTTATGCTAGGCTCTGTTATACTTTATTCTCTGTAAAGATTTTACTAATTACAAAAACCTGATCATGTCGTTCATCTATTAATCTAATTTTCCTCAGACTTTACTGCACAAAGCCCCTTATAATAAAGCTCTGCTTCCTTCTCTTGAAGTCTTATCTCCACTCAGCACCACACTCCTTGTACCAGTCCCTCAGCCACATTGAAATTTTCCTTGTTCTTCAAATATAGCATATGTTTTATGCCTTCATGCATTTGTTTACAGTCTTCCCTTTGCCTCTCTTGCCTTATTTGCCCTTTTTGACCTGGTAGATTTCCATTCATCCTTTAGAATTCTGCTCACATGTCACCTCTGTTGTGAAATCATCTCTGATTCCTCCAGGCAATGCTAGTTGCTTCCACTTTCATTCTTATATTGTATCTTGTTATTTCTAAATGTGTCCTTGTCCTCTCTTACATTATGAACTAAGTGAGGGTGGAGAGTGTGCCTTACTCATCTGTGTATGTAAATATGTATGTGTGTGTGTATGTATATGTTACATATGTTGTTGTTGTTGTTATGTGCCGTTGAGCCAGACCCAACTCATAGCGACCCCTCCTTGGGTTTCCGAGGCAGTATCACTATGGAAATAGATTGCCCCATCTTCCTTCCGGGTAGTGGCTGGTGGGTTTGAACCACCAGCCTTCTGGTTAGCAGTCAAGTGCCTTAGGCACTATGCTACCAGAGCTCCCATGTTATGTATACATATATAGATATCCTCAGAAAGGATATAGTGTATTCTCAGAAAATACTTAAGTATCTGAATGAATTTCAAATGGAAAAACAGTGTGAGATTTATAAATTTTATGTATGGTTGATGAAATACAGCATTAGAAGCATTGCTATACATTTGTGATCCAAAAATAGCTGCTAGTGGGGTTTATCTGAAGGATCTCTTGTAATGTGAGAAACTTTGGAAAGTGCAGTTGCTGGTACTACTGTGAATATGACCTTTTTATAGTGTATACAAGCCAGGGTGATTCATTACTGTCTACATATTACCTGTCAGGTCATGTTTCTTAGAGGTTTTTTGTTTTTGCCTGCCATTGACAAACATGTTCTTTTGACATCTTTCCAGAATCCTTCCCTTTCTCTTCATAAGCCAGAATGACTATTTTGAGACTTTCGATCCTTGGAATACTTAAGTGGTGGTGGAGGTAGTTGTTTATATGACTGCTGCCAGTCTCTTTTGCAAGCAAGGGATGATTCCTTTTCCATTTATGTATCCTTTTCTTCCCCTAGCTTTTCTTCAGTGTTATATGCTTCACATAAAAATTAACACCAGATTTAGTTATGGAAATGAACATACAAAAAAATCTTTTGTGTTCTTAGTTCTTTAGAATAAACAATTCACTTAATGGGCTTTCTCTTAGAAAATTAGACATGTTGATACACTTGCACCTTCTTGTATCAGCATATAAATATAGAATAGTAAAACAGATGTTTGTATATTTATAGGATTTAGAAAAACAATCTAAATAAAAGTCTAAGAGGATGAGTTGATTTACATGTCAGTAGGTGGTAGTGAGTAGCTCTGGTGGCTCAGCATTTTACTGCTAACCAGATGGTTGGCAGTTCAAACCCATCAGCCACTCTGCAGAAGGAAAACTGGACAATCTACTTCTGTAAAGATTTACCACCTCAGAAACCTAAAGGTGGTTGCTGTGAATTGGAATCAACTTGATGGCATTGAGTTTCGTTTTGGAGGTGGTAGTGGCATTCATCTGTGTTTAAAATAATATAATAACTTGAATTTGTAATTTTCATCAACTTTTTTATTTATCCATATTGAGTTTGTTAATGTTTGGGAATTCATGATTTGATAAAATACTCGCACAAGAGAAAAATTATTAATTAATTAAGTTACTATATGCCAAGCATTTTGCTAGACATTGAACATATTTCATTTTGTTGATTTTTTAAAAAATTATTTTATTTTTGTGGTTTTTTTTGAGAATATACACAGCAGAATTGTTGTCAGTTCAACAATTTCTATATGTACAATTCAGTGACATTGAATACATTCTGCAAGTTGTACAGCCATTCTCACCTTCCTTTTCCAAGTTGTTCCTTCCCATTAATATAAACTCACTGGCACCCAACGTTCCTATCTATCTCTTGAATTTCTGTTTTCAGTTTGATCCCATATAGACAGATCTTAAAAAGCACAGTGCTCAAGGCTGACATTCTTTACAAATTAAGCTCAATTATTTGGTTAATAGAAGACTTCAAGAGATATTTTTGATTTGAGGTTTCAGTTTTAAATATTATTTCAAGGCACTACTTTCAGGGGTTCATCGAGCCTCCACTGCCTCGATAATCTGGATTCTATTAGAATTTTAAAATCTGTTCTGCATTTTTACCCCTTTTGATCAGGATTCTGTTATAAAATCTTTGGTCAAAATATATATATAAAACTTCATTGACTCTTAATTGGTGGTATTATTCTCATTTTACTGGCTATGAAACTGAAGCTTACAGAAGGTATATAATAATGATAATAATGTTTATCTATCTCTCTGCCCCTATTAAGGAGCTCTGGTAGTGTAGTGGTTGAAGCATATAGCTGCTAACTAAAAGGTTGGCCATTTAAACCCACCAGCTGCTCTGCTGGAAAAAGATGAGGCAGCCTGTTTCCATAAAGATTTACAGCCTTGGAAACCCTGTGAAGCAGTTCTCTTCTGCCCTTTAGGATTACTATGAGTTGGAATTGACTCGGTATCAGTGGGTTCTGTTTTGGTTTTTGGTTGTCTGTATTAAATTATGAGTTTCTTCAAATTAAGGAACAACTATTAATTTCTGTCAGATGCACAATTTTTGGCATATATCGAATATTGAGTAAACCTATGTGGTTTGTTGAAAGTTATACAACTAATGAGAGGCAGAACTGGGCTCAACTCAGAACTTGCCTGAATTCAAAACCTGTGTTATTTCCACTGTTGCAAATTATTACATCACTTTGTTGACATCTGTCCCTTCTAATATGCCATAAAACCTTGTGTTTTTCTTATGCTACAGTAGTCTGTCATATAGTTATTTTTTGTGCATAGCTTATTTATCTTAAATGATGGCAAACCAGTGAAGGCTAGGAAACATATGTCTGTATTTATTTGTTCATTCAATCAGTTTTGTTTTATTTATTTAACAAATATTTATTTATCATCTACTCTGTGCAAGTCTATGCTTAGTGCTTGGAACATAGGAGTAACATACTGTCTTCATGGAACTCCTTTGTTTTCGCAAGTACCTTAAAGTTCGTTGTTGTCTTGTTATTAGGTGATAGCAAGTCAGTTCTGACTCATAGTGACCCCTTACATAACAGAATAAAACACTGCCTGGTTCTGCCCCATCCTTACAATTGTTATGTTTGAGCCCATTGTTGCATTGACTGTGTCAGTCCATCTTGTTGAGGATCTTCCTGTTTTTTGTTGACTCTCTCCTTTACCAGGCATAATGTCCAGAAACTAGTCTCTCCTAATAACATGTCCAAAGTATATGAGACAAAGTCTAACCATTCTTGCTTCTAAGGAGCAGTCTGGCTGAACTTCTTCCAAAACAAATTTGTTTGTTTTTCTGGCAGTCCATGTTATATACAGCATTCTTCACCAATGCCATAATTCAAGAGCATCAGTTCTTTTTTGTTCTTCCTTATGCCCACCTTCCACATGCATATGAGGTGACTGATAATACCGGCTTATGTCAGGCTGACTTTAGTCTCAAAGTGACATCTGTGCTTTTTTTAACACTTTATTTAAAGAAGTCTTTTGCAACAAATTTTCCCAATGCAATAGTATCAGTATTAATGTTATTGTTATTAAAAATGAGAGGCCTAAAATTCAACTGTCTGATTTTTCTGTTTACTAGCTATGGGCATGTTAATTAACCTTTTCATGTTGTAGTTATTTCATATATATGTATACCATGCTTGGTAAAGTAGAAGGTCAGAGAAAAAGAGGAAGACCTTCAGCAAGATAGATTGACACAATGGCTGCAACAGTGGGCTCAAACATAGATAGCAATGACGATGGTGCAGGACCTGGCAGGGTTTCATTCTGTTGTACTTAGGGCCGCTGTGAGTTGGAACTGACTCGACAGCACCTAACAATATATATTTTATTGGAGGTTAGCTCTAGATTGAACCATATGAAATTGACATTTCTATAGGTCAAAAATAGTTGAATACTACTGTTGTTTGTTGTTGATATGTGCACTGGGCACTGTCTTCTTCTGTTGTACTTAAGGTCACTCTGAATCAGCATCAACTCCATGACACCTGACAACAACAACAATTAAATCTGTTTGTTATAGGTCTATTCATATTTTCTGTTTTTGCTTGAGTCAGTTTCAGTAGTTGTATCTTCCTAGAAAGTTGTCCATTTCCTCTATTTTATCTAATTTGTTGGCATTAAATTGTTCTTTGTATCCCCTTATAATTCTTTTCATATCTGTAAATTTGGTAGTAATGTCCTCTCTTTCATTCTTGATTTTAGTAATTTGATTGTTCTCTCTTTTTTCTTTCTAGCTAAAATTTTGTTAATTTTGTTGATCCTTTCAAGGAATCAATAGTTGGTTTTGATTTCCTCTTGTTTTTCTATTCTCTATCTTATTAATTTTCACCCTTGATTTCATGTTTTTTTCTTCCTCTGTTTGCTTTAGGTTTAATTTTCTCTTTGATAGTCTGAAGGTGAAAGAATAGGTTATTGCTTTGTCATTGTTTATCTTTTTAACTATAGGCATTTAGAGCTATACATTTCCTCTGAACTGCTATAGTTATATTCCGTAAGTTTTAGTATGTTATGTTTTTGTTTGCATTCATCTCAAAATAGTTTGTAATTTCCCTTGTGATTTCTTCCTTGACTCATTGTTTATTTAGGAGTATGTTGTTTAATTT